TTCAAAATGGATTTACAGATAAAAAAATGTATTTAAAGATTTCAATAATATTCAACAACACATTAATTTACATGGCTATCTTTTCTTTCACGTACATGTGATTTTATCAGTTGGCATGTGGCACCCTTTAATGAAGGAATATTTTTATGAAATTTTGCACATGAGTTCATGAGATCAATAGGAACAGGACTTGAGGTTGTCCCAGACAAAATCTGAACATTTAATTTTTGACTACCACCCTAATATATATATATATATATATATATATATATATATATATATATATATATATATATATATATATATATATATATATATATATATATATATATATATATATATATATATATATATTTATTTATATATATATATATATATATATATATATATATATATATATATATATATATATATATATATATATATATATATATATATATATATATATATATATATATATATATATATATATATATATATATATATATATATATATATATATATATATATATATATATATATATATATATATATATATATATATATATATGATAACAGATGTTAGATCTTGTTTACAACAGACCTAACATCTATTGATATGAACAAGATTATAAGATACACTCTATATGTCTTATAGGTCTTATCTTAACAAAAATGTTAGTTGTGTTTCTTAGCTAGGGCTAGGATATACTATATAACACATTAGTATATTATATAGCAAGTTGGCAACTGTCTGACAATTATGTTTAATTATGAGGTCTGAATTTCCAAAAGATCAAATATATATCCAGAAGATTTGGTTGATGTAGTTTTTTATATTTAGACAGACATCTTGCAGGTTAGTTTTAATGGATTAGCAACCATTAGAGTAATTGTAGCTACTTTTCTTATTTAAATAGACATGATATGAGCTATATATAATTTATTTTGAATGTGTTAAAAGTGTGTTGAGATATGCCAACTAGAAGATTGTTACAGTAGTCTAGTCAAAATTTGACTTGCAGATGATTATTTTTACATCATTTTTCATAAGACAGGGATGAAAATGAAGTGCACAGACATAGATTTTAACTTAGATAGACTAAGAATATTTACCAAATTTGATGCTGGTAGAGGTATATCTAAAAATCTAATGATCTTATTACCACAGCTTCTGTTTCGTTTAGATAGAAAAACCATTTTCAAGCAACCATCTGCTAACTACATTGATACATTTAAAATTGTTGTTTGTATTGTCTTTGCCTGGTCTGATAGTAACATGAAATAACTCAAGATTTCTTTTTTCATTTTAAGATTATATGGTTTATTATTATTTGTGCAGCGATGACCCTGACTTGTGCAGCATTGACCCTGATTTTGTTTATTAAATCTGGCCTTGGTCAAATATCATCCATGGTTGTTAACTTACATGAAGTATCAGAAAAGCACTATTTAACTACATCATTTTATTTTGTCATTTCACAGAAATAGTTTCTACAATTAAATTGGACACTCTTATTCTACAATGATATTGGACACTCTGTTGAATAACTTGAACAGCAAGTTTACTATCATTAAGAACATATCAATTCATCTAAAAAAATGTATGGTCTAGTGATCTAAACAAAATGTCAAAGAAATATGTTTTCTATATAATCAACCACTTCACAGATAAAATGTATGGTGTTAAATAAAATTTTTTTAATTGTTAAGTTTTCAACAATATTCAACAAATCCATACCATGCTAGTTGCTGCTCTTAATGATAAATTTACTATTTTATTATGTTGTTGTATTATATAATTATTGTGTTATATATTATGTTATTCAATTACTTTATTTTGCTTTGTATTAGTTGTTTTATTATTATGCTTAAATTATTCCTAATTTAAGCATAATAATCAAATTTTATATTGTATATTATGTTATTCAATTATTTTGTTTAATAATAAGTCAAATAATTTGCTTCTACTTTCAGGTGCTCTCAGATGGTAAGGGATAAAATAGTTAGGGCATTAGAAAGAAATTTTAAAATACTAATAAAAGTATTGAATATACCTGCCAAAAGTTCATTTAAACAAAAACCAAGAAATTAAAATTTTGGTTTTAAGAGCCATTATCTGAGAAATATAGGCAAAATTGGCAAAGTCTGGAAGTGATGTCTTTAAAATCTCTTCATTTTCAGATGTTTTATAGAACACAATGAAATTAGGTCACAGTTAAATTTTTTTCGAAAACTCCCATTATTTGCGGAGATATCGGGTGCCGAAATTTGGCCCATTTTGTAAAAATATTGGTGCATGGAATGGAATTACTACTTTGGAAGTTTACTTCTTCCCAGACTCTTGCATACTCATGATTTTTTTTCTATAAATTCAATGTATACTTTATTGGCTTTAAAAAACAGTTAAGTAAATTATGTGCAAGTAATGGCCTCAGGAGATATAAATAGTCAAAGTACAGGTAAAATTTCAAATTTAGTGGTTTTGAACCGTGATTTCTAGACAACAAACAGTGTAAACATTTTGAGTTTTTATTTTAAGCAGAGAAATCCACCCAGAGTAGTAGAAATAAGAAAAATAAATGAGTTTCTCAAATTCATATTGCTAAAATTGCCCCTCAAAGTAGTAATTCCATTCCATGCACCAATATTTTTACAAAATGGGCCAAATTTCGGCACCCAATATCTCTGCAAATAATGGGAGTTTTTGAAAAAAAATTTAACTGTGACCTAATTTAATTGTTTTCTATAAAACATCTGAAAATCAAGAGATTTTGAAGGCATGATTTCCAGACTTTGCCTATCTTTCTCAGATAATGGCTCTTAAGTAAAATCAAATATGGTACCAAAAGTTTTGTTTTAAAGAAAATCAAGTTTTGGTACAAAAATGTTGAACAAATGATTTAAAAATTTAGATAGCAAATCAATGAAAATTTATAATTTTAATTTTTTGTTTTAACTTTCTCTTCTTAAGTTCTCTGTTTAAATTTTACTTACACAGAACACTTTTGGTTTTTTTATTGTGTTATACAGTGTTAAAAATACAAAAATAAATGAACTATTATGCAAATAATTTTGAAAAATTGTGCAATCATATTTAAACAATAGAATTAAACTTTTTTTATAAATGAAAATGTATTTATTATTGAAGTTAAAAAACATTGAATTTTTTATTTGTTCATATAATAAATAAAACTGTATTATTGCATTTTATGTATTGGAAAAAATATTTAAATATGGGGTTTTGTTAGCCTTGTCAAATTACAAATACTATTATTATACTATTATTATATTATGTTTAACTTCTTGATTACTATTGATAACTTCTTAAATACTATTATTATATTATGTTTAACTTCTTGAACAAATTTAGCCTGATTTAAAAAATTTGAGATAATATATCACTTTTCAAATCAACCTTGCATAGTGGAAAGTTTCTGGTTTCTTAGTTTTTACATCTCCAGAAGACATAAGTAACAACTAGTTCAGCTTTCTTCTTTTCTCTTTATATCATCTCTGAAACCTTTTTAACTTTTGATATTTTTTGTGCAAAAAGTGCAAAAATGTTAAACTCTGATGCATTAGTTGAAATAGTTGATAGATATCAAAATCATTTGCTTTTCTGAATAATGAAAAGTTGTTTCAAAGCTTAGTCTTATTTCTTTGGTTTTCATAGTTTTCAAGGAGATTCAGCACACCTTTACACTAATCCTCACCTGAAAAGAATGTGGTGTGGCAGGGTTGGAAAAAACCCAGGGTTTTTAAAAAAAACCCAACCCAAATGGGTTTTTTGGGTTTTATTAAGTTTTATGAGTTTTTTGGGTTTTTTTAAAAATCGATCAAAGTACCAAATTTTTATAATTGTATGAGTACAATAATTTTTTTTTTTTAATTTCATAAATTCACCTCCTTATTGCTCCAATGACCATTTCAGTCAAGGGAGCAACTCATTTTTTAAAAATATTTTGTCTCAATCTTTAACATTATCATTTTTACTAACAAACAACATTAACAACTAAAATTTTTAAACAAAGGTGCTGTGTGGAGAAATAGGTTGAGACAGTAATTTCAGCAGAAGTAATATGAACCCCAACCTTCTGGTTGGGAGCCAAATGTTTTACTACTAGTCTACTAGCACATTTTACCTATAGTGCAAAAAGGGACTCTATCAACATAAATGATGTTAATTAATTGCTCTAAATTAAAAACATGTTCAGAATAATTTTGACTAAAAAAAAATCAGTGTAAAAATTATGACAATTGAGTTATTCAAAGTTGGTAAGACAATATAAATGTTGCAAACTAGTTTTTTTTACTAACATGTTCAAAAACTACTTTGCACAAGTTTACAACATGTAATCAACAAGTTTGCAACATGATGTTGCAACCTTATAAGTTATTATCAATCAGGATGACTATGAACACTTTTTAAACATTTTTATATCATAGAAGAAAACTGCTAGCCTAATCACTACATTTTTTTTTATCAGAGCATTATACTGTCCAGCTTCCTAGAAAAGTTATCAGCCTGATCAACTGGACTGGCAAAAAATGAATTTTTGCCTAAACTTTGTTTCTAAATATATATAAAGTAAATTTGTTTAGAACCATTACAGTGTCTTCGCCACCAAGTTTTTTTTTTCCTTGAAGGTGTTTTACCGGCTCAGTTTTGCAATGCAAATTGCAAACTGAATAAAAGTAACACATTATACAGTGTTTTCTAAATAATTAAATACAGTGTTTACAAGAGTAATTACAGTATAAAGGTTGCACTTACTAATAATAAAACATTTATAAGTGTTAAAATCAGAGTTATCAGTTGTAAAATAGATCATTTTTAAAAAAAACCCAAATCTATTTTGGGTTTTTTTGGGTTTTTTTAAGGTGGGTTTTTTTGGGTTGGGTTTTTTTGCCAACCCTGTGGTATGGTGTGAAGGTGTGAAAAGGTGGTGTGGTTTGATTATTTAATTTGTTTATTTTAGATTTGAAAAAATTATAAGTTTGGTTAACATTTTTTTTAGCAAAAAGGGAATCTCAACATGAAATCCCTTCTTGTTGCATTAGATGAAGATTCTATTGAAGGAAAGAGTTTTTTCGCTATGGAAGATAAGAACAAGTCTCATACTTTAAGACAAGATAATATTTTAATGAAAGGCATTTTAAAAAGTCTGCAGGTTATCTATGTTTATTTTTCATTGTAACATTTCTTCAAACTTAATCACTTTTTTTTTTATCTATGTTATTTTTATTTATATATATATATTTTTTTATTGTTATTTACATTTTTTTTATCGATGTTATTTTTATTTTGTTTGTTAATTTATTTTGTATCTTAAATTTTGATTTTAGAACAACAAAGACCAGCTATTTGTTTTATATAAAAAAGGTTTTGCTTCAATAGCGCGCCTAGAATCTTATGAAAATATAAAGCAACCAGATTATCCAAGCAAGGTTATTTTTTTAAGTGATTGCTTTGATGTGATAAGAACTTCAATAAAAAGAAACCCTTTTACAATAATACTTTTTACTAAAAATGAAAGACTATTGGTATCTGCTGAAACTGAGCGCGATTGTATGCTTTGGTTAACTGCTATAGAGCAAGAAAGAGAAGCTTGTGGTTCATTTGTATATAATGAGCCCAAATATTGTAAGTTTGAATTTTTTATAGTTTAAACAATTGTTTTGCGGCAGAAAGTTGAAGCTATAATTGGTCTATTTGATTGATAATTAGGAAAATGTAAAAATTAGGCAACTTGCCTTTTTTATTATTAAAATGTAAATGAAACAGTTTTGAAATTTCAAAGTAAATCAGGTGAATTCTAGATTCAATCAATTGAAATATCCTTTAAAACATTTCAAAATAATCAAAATAATTAGTTATGAAGGCAATTAAAAAAATGTAGGGTATTGATAATTCATTTTTCAAAATTTCTGTGGTTCTCCTAAATCTTTCAGTATCTCTGACAGTTGATTTAAAAGGACATGTGGCATTTTATATAATGACTTTAACATAATGATTTTTTATTCTTAATATTTATATATAATAATACTTTTTATTTTTTAGTTTTATATATAATAATACTTTTTATTTTTTAGTTTTATATATAATAATACTTTTTATTTTTTAGTTTTATATATAATAATACTTTTTATTTTTTAGTTTTATATATAATAATACTTTTTATTCTTTAGTTTTTAGTTAATACTTTTTATTTTTTGTTTTTAATAATAATACTTTTTATTTTTTCTGAGAACTTTTGAAAAAATGTTAATGATTAGTTTAAGAGCTTCTCAAACTAATCATTAACATTAAAATCTTGTTTAGGATTTGTATTTAAGGTGTGCAGTGTTTAAGATAACACTGTATATATGTATCTTAAACTCAATTTAATGCTCTAACAACTTATCAGCAATGCAGTGGTCTGGAACAGTTAGTTAGTATGCAATTTTAATGCACTTGTGTTTTTTAGACCAATATTGTGCATAAATAACATACTATTGTGTATAGATAGCATATTATTGTGCATAGATAGCATACTATTGTGCATAGATAGCATAATATTGTGCATAGATAGCATAATATTGTGCGTGATAGCATAATATTGTGCATAGATGGCATAATATTGTGCATAGATAGCATAATATTGTGCATAGATAGCATAATATTGTGCATAGATAGCATAATATTGTGCATAGATGGCATAATATTGTGCATAGATAGCATAATATTGTGCATAGATAGCATAATATTGTGCATAGATGGCATAATATTGGTATAATAATCCCCATTATACTGATCATATTAACATATTTAAACACATCATACTATTTATTAACTTATTTAAATGCAGCTGTGGTGTAGTGGTTAGAGTTCTGGCTTTAGAACTGAAGGTTTGTTGTACAATTCCTCTCTGGCTATATATGCATTAGTGGCAGAAAGAGGCTTCCTTCCTGGTTAAATGCTGTTCTGTGATAAGACCTGTGATAAGACCTGTGATAAGACCTGTGATAAGACCTGTGATAAGACCTGTGATAAGACCTGTGATAAGACCTGTGATAAGACCTGTGATAAGACCTGTGATAAGACCTGTGATAAGACCTGTGTTAAGGACGTCTTGGAGTACCTTAATAACTAGTTTAAAAAATAATAAAAATTTATTTAACAATTTTTCAAATTTAAACAATTTTTCAAATTTATATGCAAAAACAATATCATTTAATTTATCCAATAATATAATTTTTAAATAAGAAAATATGCTGCACTACATGGTGATATGTCAACATAATTTATTAGGTGACTCATAACATGCTTTATCTAAATCCACATTTAGGGAGACTGGCATCCTCACTCTTTTTGCAGAAGTTTTTTTTTTTTTTGGACTTTTAAATATATTGTGTTTTTTTCTTTTGACCATGACTCACCCTTGTAGAATTTCTAGTATTATGTATTTTTATGTTATATTTCTACTTTCATTCATCATAGTTTTACTTCCTTCATCTTGCTTTTCTGATTCATATAATTTGCAATCTTTTAAGTCATATGTCGATTGTTATCTTGCTCTACAATTTTCATCTTTTCTCTTCAAGTAATTTCCAACGCTAATTAGTGGTTGCTTGTAGCCTTGTTAAAAGCGAAGGTGTTTAAAAAAAAAAAAAAAACTTATTAGCTTTCTTTTAACATTTTTTAATAAAAAAACTTCAATCAAAAATTAACTGAATTGGAAATAAGTAAAAATGTTTAGTTTGTTAGGTTATATTTAAAGCAAAGGTATTTAACTTTTTAATATTTTAAGTTTTGAATTTTAATTGATGTTTTTGAATTTTAAATAAAATAGTCATCAATAAATAGAATTTAATCGAAACTTAACCCAATTGAAGATATCATTGAATATGTTCAATTATGCTTAGTTATATTTGATGCAAAGGTATTTTATATTCGAAAATGTAAAAAACCTTTAATAAAAACCTCAAACTGTTAGAGTTCGGTGATCAGGTTGGCAAAAAAAAGTTGACACAAAGGTTTTATTATTAAACATACAAACGAGGTTGGCAATTTTTTGCCGGCCTTAAACATTTTGAGGTTATTCAAAAATTAGGGTCAGCATTGCTGAATGCTGACCCTAATTTTGAGGATATATATATATGTATATATATATATATATATATATATATATATATATATATATATATATATATATATATATATATATATATATATATATATATATATATATATATATATATATACATACATACATACATACATATATATATAATTATACACACATGTATATTAGGTATTAGAAAGCACAAAATTTTTTTATTGCAGTAAAGTCGTGGATCGTAAATGTTAGATGTCGTGGGAACTTTTCATTAAAAGGTTGGTATCTTTTGGGTGTTACTCTCACACAACTTGATTTTGTATCACAATCAGTAGCAGGAGTTGTTTCATCTCTCGATGTTAAGTCAATAGAAAGAAGTGGATACACTGAAAATTCATTTTATATGGAAATATGGATGTGTAATACTTTATGTTTGTTATGGCTTGATATGGAAGATCCACAAAGTGCTTGCAGCATTGATCAGCTCATTAAACAGTATAGTACAAATTTATTTATCTTTTGAAAAAAATCTGTTTTGTCGTTTTAGGTTCAAACCAAGTTCGGAAAAGAGCAAAAACTATTTTTAAACGGGGTAACAATAAGTGTTTTTTATTTTTAGCTGGAGGAAAAAATATAACAGTTGCTAAATTAAAAGTGTTTATTTTTTAAAAATGTTATTGTTTACCAATTTTTAAAATAGTAGGGCAATTATATAAAGACTGTTCTATAAGGAAATAAAAAGCTAAGATCATTTTGACTTTTTGTTGATTATGTTTAATATTATTAAGGTAAGACTCAAAAGTTTATTTAGAAAAGTTTCTTTCTGGAAAGCAAGTTCATTTGAATAAAAAGTTAAAAAACTTACAAAAATGATTTTTTTATTTTCAATAATTTATTGTAAAAATTCATTGTATACAGGTTAACTGGTAAAGGAAAAAAATCATTTACTGATAGCCCGTTACTACGAAAGTCTTATAAAGATAAAGCAAAAAATATTACTCAAATAAATTTATTGTCTAAAGCTTCTCTTTATTCCACTGGTAATATATTTTATTTGAAGCTTTTTTAATTTAAGTTAAAACTTTAAGAGAATTGAAATAATAATTTTTTAAGTTATTGTTTTTAATTAGATGAAGATGAAATATCAAGTGCTTCATCTTTATGTTCTTCTCGTTCAAATTCTTCTGATTTCCAAAAACTTAATAAATTCAAAAACTCCTCCTCTTTCTGTTCCTCTCCCGAGCTTCACCCACCAGATCACAAAAACAGATATCCTTATTGCAGCAGTAGTAGTTCAAATGTAAGCGAGTGCAATGACATCTCTCTACGAGATGGCGAAGCAAATGGTACGTTTTTAAGTTATTTTTTGCAAACTTTTTTTTTTTTCCCATTGAAAAGAAAAAAAAGTTTTTTGAACTCTTTAAATACTCTTTATTTAATGTATTTTTTAATTTAAATAATTTTTTATAAATATTTAATTTTTTAATAATTTAATTCAAAAAAAAGATCAGAGATTTAACACTTTGACTTCTACAATAACTGTAGTTTATTTCAAATATATGTAGTTTAGATAACAGTTACGCACTTTATTATATATATATTTTAATATGGCTAGCATTGAAATCATTTAAAACAATTTTACTAAAGATTGTTTTAAATCAGTTAATGTACACAAGTTATTTATGTACACAAGGATTATGACTAAAAAAATCTCCTTTGGATTTTTTTTTGACATAAACAAATTTTTATTTTCTTAATTGGTGTTAAAATCTTTATTGATTCCTAATGCACGTCAAAAGATTTTTTCGTCATAACCCTAATGTACACTCCTTTGCATCAATCCTTAAATAAATCAGTCTATAAAATGAAATTAAAAAAACAAAATAAAACAAATAAAATATACTGTAGATTCATTCATTACTTTAACTCTGCATTATGTTGCTGATGATTACTTTTTGAGAAAGTTTATCATTGGCTTGTAAAACTATGACAATGTTAAAGTTTGGCGGCATTGAAACGTTAGGGTTACTTATGAAAACAAAACAATTTTTTAGGACCACGTTGTTTTCAATAATTTAAATAATTTTGAATAATTTAAATAAACACTAAACAAAGTTTGAACAGAACTTGCGCCCATGGTTTTTGCTTTAAACAACTTTTTTAAATTATGGTAAGTTATTATAATTTTGAGCATTCGTCTGTCATCTAATTGCAAATGAAAATTAAATGTAATTTAAATACTGGTGATGACTTAGTAAAGTTAAGGAGAGTTTATTTTACAGACATTTATTTGCAAGGAGAGTTTATTTTACAGACTTTTATTTTTAAGGAGAGTTTATTTTACAGACTTTTATTTATAAGGAGAGTGTATTTTACAGACTTATTTGTAAGGAGAGTTTATTTTACAGACTTTTATTTGTAAGGAAAGTGTATTTTTCAGACTTATTTGTAAGGAGAGTGTATTTTACATATTTTTATTTGTTTTATTAAAGACTAATAAATTGAATAAACTTAGACGTAAAGTGAACGACGTTCAGTGAGTAGATAGCATTATTGATAAAAAAAAAAAAGAATCAATAAAATTGTTTACTTTGTTTGTTTTTATGTCAATGTTAACTGTTTCCAAATTATACTTTAAACGTCATGAATTCAATTGTGATATATTAAACAATACCATTTTCTAAATAATATTACATTGCTTGTAAATTTTTGAAACTAATATAATTTTAAAATTATTGTTAGTAATTTTGATATATATTTATTATTGGTTACAAAGCTATTTGAAATTTATAAAATTGTTAAATATTTACGTTGCTTTGTTTGTTATTTCTTAATAATTTGCCTTATCTAAGTGGGTGGTTATGACTTATAGACATTTTAATCAGGAAGTTAAATTTAAAATAAAATGTTGTAAATTATTGTAAAATCCTTTTTCTCAATTAAATGAGAAGAAAAGCGCGAAATATTAATTCAATTACTTTAACAACAACAACAAAAATTCAGAAAAAATATATTTTGTAATGATTTGATTTTTGAAAATACGCATTGCTTTCTTAAACATAATAAATATTATTTTTTATATCAAAATACGCACTCTTCATACACTCTCTTCGAATATTTTACATTAAATTACTCTTAAATTAAATTACACCCGTCTTTATAATAAGCTCTGCCGATTACTTTAAAGATATTACTTATATTCAAATATTATTGTTTGTTTAAGAAAACTGTTTTTCTTCACTGCATAATACTTCTGCATCTTCAAGTCTCGCTGATGACGAGAGCGACGTGTTTCTGGATTTAGAGCAAGGTATTTTTTTTTTCTTTTTTTTTATACAAACGAAATTGGTTTGTGTTTTATGGTGGTAATATTTGTGTACTATGGTTGTAATTGTGTACTTGTGTAATTACAATTTAGTATTAAATAATATTGTTCCTAAAAGGTGAAAGTAATTTTAAATGTAAAAACTGGTGCAATAAAAATCAAATAGTAGTTCTAAAAAGTTTTACTTTGTTAATCAAACAATGATATTAAAGTTTGACTTTGTTAATCAAACAATAACATTAAAGTTAAATTTTGTTAAGCAAACGATAGTTATAAAAAGTTAGATTTAAAGTGGATAACGCGAATTTAAAGTTGTTTATGGATGGTTTATTCATCGATATGGCGAATAGAAGAATTATAACCGAATGATTTTTTGTTTTGGTTTTAATGAAGTTTTAACTAGTGATCGATCGAAATTCGGTTTCAAACGAATTATATTTTTGAACCGATACCGAAATTTTGGTTGCGTTAATTTTTATAAATTCGGTATAAACCAAAATTTCGACTGAAAAACGTACCGAAAATCAAAATTCAGGTTGTATGGTTTTTAATTTTTGATTTAGAAAATTGTATTTTTAGCAATTTTCGCAAAATATTTTACCATTTCTAAACTAAATTTTAATCCTTTTGTTCATCAATTATTTAATTTTTTAGTAATTATTCACCTGCTTCTTAAAAATATCTGTAAATAATGAAACGATTGCAGTGCTCATAATTACTTACCGTAACTATTGTTATCTTGCTTATCTGATAACATTTTTTTAAAGAAATTAAATTGAGTTTCATGGAACAAAAGATTTCGCTAGATTTTTATTTTGTTTTTTTATTGTTATGATTTTTATTATTATCTAAAATGGAAGTTTTAAAAAGTCAGGTTTGGAAGCATTTTACAGTTTCTATTTCTGAGATCTGATGAGGACGCCGATCGTAAGATATGCAAAGCAAGAGCATCATGACGATCTGATAATCAAAGACTAGCACAATAACTGACATTTTGATAAAATTTTGAAAAAGTGACAAAAAGTGATAACCTTTGACCTGATTATTCTTGACATGCAATCATAGTCAATTGTTAATGAAGTTTTTCACTTTGGCCTAATTGCTCCAACTTTTGAAATTGCACGCAATAAATATTACAAAAACATATTGGTCCCAACCTACGATAAAGTATTTATTAGGAAAACTATTTATACTGAGCTCTACAATGAAAGAAACTATTACCAGATACCAGTCGTTAACTTATATCAGGTACCAGTCAGAGGTGATTTTACAAAAAGTATGAGGGGGGGGGGGTGAATCCTTTAAAAGTATACTGATGCCTTAAAAAAAAAAATGGTTCTCAGAACCTGACTGAATTGTGTCAAGTACACGACTAGCCGACTAAGTTCGTAAAAAAACCGGCTATAACTTAAAAATCAACTTCTTTGAGGGGGTTGTTCCAACCCCCGTAAAATCGCCTCTGCTACCAGCTGTAAATTTATATCTATTAAAATTTATAATAGCATCTATTAAAATTTATATCAGTATCTATTAAAACTCAACTTGTGTCTAATTGAAGCAAGTTTACGTCGAAATAAAGTTTTGATTATAGATTCTTGCCGAAAATCGTAAAACGAAAATCTTGTTTTCTAAAAAAAAAAAAAATTTAAATTTTGTGTTAAATTGATATTATTACGATTTAGCGGAAATGAATTTTTTTTGAATTTCTTGTTCGTCTGTAGAGTAATTATTTTTATAAAATAAATTTGCCGATTTTTTTACAAAATATCCTTCCTCCTGCTAATATTAGAATTTTGAAATATCGTTATCAGATCGACTTGTATTTTTTTAAATCGATTCTAAATTTAATTCTAAAAATTTCAAATATTCAATGTGTATTTTAATTATTATTAAAAATTTTTTTTTTTTTTTTTGGTTTTGTCTAGTACCGTTGCCAAAACCAAAATATTGGATTACTATTAGAGATGGCGGTTGATAACAAAAAACACACTTATGGATTTTGTTGCTACGGCTAATGTAATTAGTTATCAATTAGTTTCTATTTGTGATTAATTATTTAGCTATTTGACTAAACTCTTGCCAAAAGCAATATTTAAAAAGTTCCTATATGATAATTTATTTTTTAAATAATTATTTTTTCGATGAAGATATTTGCAAAATGCAATCTAGAAGAAGTTCTTATGAAACTAATTTATTTCCAGTTTTTGGTTTTAATGTACGTCGTCATTCTTACGACCAATTTGTACCATTTTTCTTCAGATCAGGTAGAATGTATTTTTGTAAACGTGTCTAGTAGAAATCCATGTGGAACTTTACTGACATCAATGACATTTGTTTGGGTTCGTTTATTGCTCGTAGTTCGTTTTACTTTGAATATGAAAAAACGTGAAAATGACTGATTTATATTAAATTTGCTTTTGATTATATTAAGTTATGTTTTTAATGTAAAAAAAAAAAAATTAATTTTACTAAAGACGGTAGTTGAACCTTTATATTTTTATAAAGGTTCAACTACCGTTTTATATATATATAAAGGTTTATTATAAAGGTTTATTATAAAGGTTCAACTACCGATTTATATATATATATATATATATATATATATATATATATATATATATATATATATATATATATATATATATATATATATATATATATATATATATATATATATATATATATATATATATATATATATATATATATATATGTTTGTATAGCAGTTAGCACAAACGATTTAACATCAGTTTATCGAAATCCAACTTATGTCGACTTCTCATCTAAGTCTCTTCAACATTTGTCTATTAATACTGATATTGAGGAACGGCAGAAAAAATCCAAATTAAAAACTTTGCTCCGGAGGAGGTTTTCTAAAAATTTAGAAAAAGCCAGTATTGATAAAGAAAAACTATCCATTTCTGACTTACATTCTTCGATCTTCGCACAATTAGAATTTCGCCCGAGCCCTAGTGTATTTAAAAACATACGCACGAGATCAGGCATCAACGAAGATTGTACAAAAACTATGACGAAATCATTAAACAGTGATATCGAACCAGTTTACGAATCTGTTCGATCGCCTAACGATTTTGCTCAATCTAAATTTCTCTCTCCAAATAGTGAAAAGGTTTATGGAGCTAACGATTTTGCAACTTCTAGGCGTACTTTATATCGTAATGCATTGCCTCCTATACCACCTCAACGGATAACTTCGCGGTTTAGTTTTGATGGTGTAGATACGACAGATTTTTTTAATAAAAAAAAAGAAAAAGATTCCAAAAAAGACAATCCATATGAAGAAGTTTCTTACGAAAAAATGATAAATAAAAGTTTATCGACAATCGAAATTCCACCACACATCACTCAAGGATACGAACAAATGAATGCGGAATCCTCTATAGGGGAGAGCAAATCTTATGAAGAAATTAGCGGCGGACCTTTAACAAGAAATAAAATCAATGATACGCATAGAGACGTGAGTACGAAAAGTTTTTCGAAAGCGATGGTTTTTAAATTAACTGAAAATGACAGTCTTAACTTTGACGATGAAGAAGATAGCTATGCTAAAATATCTCCATCGCCCCGAGATTTTCAGTCTAAAGAAAATAATGGTGTTTTAAAAACATTTATGGCAATAAAAAAGAACGATTTGAGTATAGGCTGCCAATCGCCATTGGAATGTTCTCGTGTTATCTCAAGAGGTACACCAGCCCATAGTACTCCGACACATAATAGGGAAATGCCTGTATTAAATCGAAATAAAATAAGTCCATCAATTTCGGGTTTGAAGATGAATCTTTCTAGTTATACGAATGTTTCTCCATCTTTCCCCCATAGTCCCAGTCATGATTTTGACTATTCTGTTCCATACAAAAATGAAATAAAAGAGGAAGAATTAACTTATTTAAATAATTCTTACTTAAGTAGTAATACTACACCTGAATACGAAAGCATGCTTTACCCAAATAAGCTTGACGACAATGCCTACGATAATATTGGAAATCAAATAAATAAACGTTGTAAAACTCTAGCTTATGCTGACGTTTTAATAGATAAACCTTCATTAAACTACAGTGATAAAGACAAAGAACTTCTTAAAGAAGATGAGTGTTGTTATATGCAAATAGACTTTGAAAAGTCTCAAGGGGTTAGCGAGGCTATTAAAGATTTACGTACGAAGCAGTCGCCGACTAACCATCTATCTTCAAGCAACAAAAATGATTACCTAACTGACCTTTCCTACAAAACCTTCAAAAAATTTAACAATACATAAGAAATATATTTTTTCTTATATATATATATATATATATATATATATATATATATATATATATATATATATATATATATATATATATATATATATATAAATATATATATATATATATATATAATTATTTTTTGTATTAAAAAGTTTAATCGTTTGTTTTGATATTTGACTTAAAATTTTAAATTGCTATACAAAACTGAAAATAATTTATAAATTTATATTTTGAAAAAATTGTCGAGTTATTGTTTTATTTGTTTAAAATATTTTTATTTTACGAAATTTCTTATCTTTTAATTCTCAGAAAATTATCACCAAAAAGCTTTAGGTACTTCAAAAATAAATGCTGGTGTTTATGTGTCGAGTTTTCAAAACTCAGTAAACAAACCATATGTTACTAATTTTTTTAGTCTATGGGAATTTAATCATAAAAATATGTTTAAATTTAATATAGAAATAATAATAGTATATAATTTTCAGGGTAATCTTAATATATAATAATAATAATAATAATAATAATAATAATAATAATAAATAATCATCTTCTTAAGGTTGTTTAAACACGGTTGACGTATAACCATCATTATGGATTTAAACATAAAATTTTGATAAAAAAATGTTGATTTTATTGTATTTAAATGCAATCAATGTAAAATCGAGTGAATCATATCAAAATTTGTGGGCGTAAGGTATTTTTGCTCTCCTTAACCTTGCCCCTCCACTTCAACCTCCTTCCCCTCAATATTATTAAAACGATCAATATTATCAAAACAAAGTCATAGAAAGGAGTAAAAATTCAGTAGGAACAGAAGTACAATTTTAAGTTTCGTTGATACTTTCTATATCTTTTTTAAACCTCCTTTTCTTGGCGCCACTCATATAAATTCTTTTTGAAAATACTATTACTATTGGAAGAAAAAATTTTATTAAAGCAAATAGATAATCTATAATTGTTTAGCTAGTTTTTCTAATGAAAATAATTTATAAAAATGTAGTATATAATGCATACAGCCCCATATTAAGACAATATTTTGAGGTTTAGTGATGGAAATAAAAATTCATATTTTGAATACTAAAATAAATTTATTCAATTAAACCGCTTGATAATGCAAACAATTTTGGGATCGATAGAAATTGATTAAAATGTCTATTAACGACAAAAGGCGTATGACTTTTTATGTGTTCTAAAGTTAACTTATAACAGTACTACAGTTAACTTATGAGAACTTTACGTAAATAATTGTCTTTCAAAATAACTGTTTTTTAATTCAATGACCAATTTTTATGTGCAAAACTTCTCCATATTTGTTGCCATCATAGAGATTTTTTGGCTCTGGCGTAAGGATTTAAAAAAACTATTAAGGATTTTAAAAAATTATTAAAACAATTAACCGAACATTCTAAACATGAAACAAATTCTCTACTATCTCATTCTTTACCAGGCAGTTTGCGCTTCTTTTTTTTTTCAAAGAAGTCACTTTTTATACACACAAGTTAATATTGATTTAGATCCCATCCCTAAAAAGTTCATTTTTTATTATCTTAAGTTTATAAAATGAACAAAATAAATCGCCTAGCAATTAACTCTATGAAAAAATGCTTCGCAATTTATCGCATTAGAAATTTTTAAACAAATATTACCAGTGGTACTGCGGATTCTTACGATTTGTCGCATTTATGGCAAATAGTTTTTGTAATAGCAATTAGACTGCTGTAATGCAAATAGTTGATAGTTAAGGAGTCATCCAAAATCTGTACGCAGTAAAACTACTGGTTTAGAACTTCCCCTTGAACGCACCTGTGTATATTTTCAATGACCCTTCATCTCCTTTTGTGTGCGTTTTTGATTGGCCCTCCTGGTGGTGGTGGAAGTGATGGCGCCTGAAAAGCAGGTACAAATTTTCAGAAGAAGGGCACGGTGAAGTGCTTTTAACGAGAGACAAATAAGCGATCACGGAAAGTTATATTTACACTAAAAAAAGTTTGTTTGAATACAATATATTACGTAACTCACTTGTATCAGTATAGTTTTTTTATAAGTTTGAATGCGTCAAATTCCACATTTTCTCATGTTCCTCTGACAAAAAACACAATGCTCTGATTTTAACCGATTTGCTAGATAAGTTTTGATAGGTTTCAAGATCTTGTGCTTCATTTCGAATATTCATTTTAAATTCCATGTTATTTGAAATTTGTTCAAGATAATCGATTTCTGCAGGGCTATAGTGTCAGCAGTCGGTCTGTAGCATTTTGTATGGCACCGAAACGAACACTGTAGGTAGCAGCCAGTTCAAGAGACTGATTCGCATCCTCAAGAAGAAATTTGCACTTCTCAAATATATTATTTCGTTTCCTCGAGTTTCCGCATTGAAAAGTCTTTAACATAACATAATATAATAAAAGTTTGCTCACAGTAAGTGATATCAGTGGTGCCATCAGTTGATATTGAAAAAAATACTGAATTATCTACCTCTTCTGAAATATTCTTCTTGACCATCTGTGTCTCTAGTATGAATTAGCTTGTTTTGTTTATAATTAGATAGAAACGTTATTCTAGCACCCCTTCCAGCAGTTGTTTTTGAGTACTGCAAATATTTTAAAGTTTTTCATTCAGCACCTCATCATACTGACCAGTGGCGGATTGAGGTTTAGTGTCGCGGGGGAAGGGGGGGGCAAAGTCAATAAATAGGGGCGACCGAGGTTGTCTTAAGTAATTTGATTTTTTAATTTTTTTTTGATTGTTTTAGGGGGCGCCGTTAGACAGTTCTAGGGGGGGGGCGTGGGGGCAAGCTGCCTCCACGCCCCCCCCCCCCCACACCTAGAACGGTCTAACGGCGAATTATTATGAATTATGAATTATTAGGCTATTATGAATTATGAATTATTAGACTCCACAGTTGATAAAATATTAAATATTGAAACCATGAGGCATCTGAACAAAAAACGTAAAGAAGCAGAGAAGTTATAGTTTCTCCGCTTTTTTACGTTTTTTGTTCAGATATCTGAACAAAAAACGTAAAAAAGCGGAGAAACTATAGCTTCTCTGCTTCTTTACGTTTTTTGTTCAGATGCCTCATGGTTTCAATATTTAATATTTTATCAATTGTGGAGTCTAATAATTAATAAACATAGCCTCGGCAGCATTTCTATGGTTTTTCTGAGTGAAATGCTTTGTTATGATGTAACTTAAGTTTGACCAATTATCAAACCAATCACGTAAAAAATGCGTAGAATAGGTTAGTCATGACCTTTTCTGCACAACTTCAATGTCATTAACTTTAACTGCTAAGTGTAATACTTAGATAACCTTGTATGTTTTTTTTGCTGATTTGTCCCTATTACAAAAAATTGTTTTATATCAATCATCTTTACACTTTTCAGCTCTAAAAATTTAGCTCGTTCATTTTCATTGACATTTACAACGTTTTTTGGTTGCTTCAAAATAATCTTTTTTGCTAGAGTTAGGTCCGTTTCTGCAGTTATAGGCACTTCATAATTACCCGTTTCTACAGTCACTCTCTCAGTTTCAGTAATGTTTCGGTTTCTAAATATTTCTGAATATTGTAGTTCTGCTCTTGCATCAGCTGCATTTATGACATCTTGATTATTGTCTGTTTCGTGTACAGATGATTAGCCTCTGTTATTGGCTTTGTTTCAATACTAGGTTTACTTTTGATATTCACAAAGGATGTTGATTTTCATTCTACATTCTCTGTAGCTGTAAAGGATGTCCCAGCTTTTCTCTGTATTTATGACACTTGCACTGACGCAATACCTGCCGTTAACTTTAATTGTTTTGGATCATTACCAGCTGCCATCAATTCATGTTGTCGTTTTTGAGCTTTTTTTTAGCACCAGATTTGTATTTTCATGTTGCCTCTTTCTTTTTTTTTCTTTTAATTCACTTGAAATATAGTTTTCTTCTTCTTTTTTTTGTCAATTCATCTCCTTAAGGCCGAGAAGACCAATACAGACAAGGAGGCTACTTATTTGTGGTTATAACCCCCTTTCAATTCTATAAATCCAAAACACGAAACTTGACAATAAAGGCCGCTGCGCGGAGAAACGATTTGAGCGCGGTACTACCAAGGACGTGGTGGGGATTGAGATCAGAACCTCTCGCTTATAAAGCGAGCGTTCTGCCACTACACCTCTAGCAAATAAATATAAAAATAAAGTTATGTTGTATGATAGAAACCAGGGTATTGGTTACTTCTGTTTGAGCTATAACTACTATCGGTCCGAGGAATTTATAAATAGTACTACTATTTATAAATTCCATGGACCGATAGAAAGTGGACTAGAGCATATTGAGTAGTAGTCAATGCAAAGCAAATGAAACTCATTTTTATATATTTATAGTTTTGAACTTTTCGATAACAGTTTTCTCTTTTTTCTGTTTCTGGGATGGTTAATTTCATGAGATAAAGATCGTTTAATCGTTCATCACTACAATGCTTGTTCTCGGTATTCTTTTCGTTTAGCAATATGTCTACCTCTACTTTCTTCTGTTAAAGCCGCCTTTTTGCTAACATATCGTTCCCTTCGCTTTTTTAGCAGAGATGCTCGTTTTTAAGCTGATTCTTTTTCTCCTATTCGAAATTTCCGTTCTTTTTCTCGAGCAAGCTGAACTATACATCATTAGATAGCTTATTCCTTCAGCTACAAAACTATATAAAATTATTTAGATTTTATGAGAGTAGTTGGCGGTACCATTGTAAATTGTACAGTGTGTCAAAAATACTGATTCACACCCAATTGAAATCAATCTCGCCATGTTGATTTAAAGTCGCCTGTGTAAATTAAAAAAGAACTTATACTTGCGTAGGGCGACGTTATATATATAGGTAAGTGAGATTAAATCTTGTTAGTTAATTTATATACTCCATTGTACCATTTTAATTAGAAAAGTATAAAACCATGGGGTTTTGTGAATGTGAACTTTCTCCCTAGATTCTGACTTGAATCTGGATTCTGAGATCAATCTCAATTGTAATTGTAAAATATGT